TAAGCTAGAGATATACTCTCTCTCTCTCTCTCTCTCTCTCTCTCTCTCTCTCTCTCTCTCTCTCTCTCTCTCTCTCTCTCTCTCTCTCTCTCTCTCTCTCTCTTACTAATATATCAAACCATAACATAAAATGGCAAAAGGCCTTCAATGGATTAATATAACTAATTGTTGGTGTAATTACCCTCCTCACAACAGCTGGGTCTGGGATTGTTTTCGACCTCTTTGTCTGCCTGTGTGTAAGTTTGAGCAACAAGTGATAAGGTCCACATTACATACGTTTTGTGCAGATCTCCTCCTCAGTATTACCCCATTTTTGTCAAGGGTTCGCACAGATAACGTAGTTGTTGTCGTTGTTTTTGTCGTTGTTGTTGTTGTTGTTATTGTCATTGTTGTTGTTGTTGTTATTATTGATGTTGTTATCGTTGGTGTTATTGTTGTTGTCGTCGTTGTTATTTATGTTGTCGTTGTTGTTGTTGGTGTTTTATTTTGGGGGGTTATAGAAAACGATGACATGAGACAGTTTTCAGCGGTGACTACATTAATCTACAATAATAACGTCAGTTGTTCAATGTGTTATCCTGCCATGGTAACGGTATGCGGGCAGGCACCGTTTTCGTGTGTGTGTGTGTGTGTGTGTGTGTGTGTGTGTAATAATAATAATAATAATAATAAACGGTTTATTAATAGAGTTGCAGCCAGTGGCTGAAAATATACTGACTTACATTTGATTTAGACATAATGATATAATATGCATTGAATACATTTACAGGGCTGTACAGTACATAAATCAGGAGTTGTTTATTTTTTTTAACAATAGATGGGATGGTGCTGTTCTTATATCTATCAGTGCGGGCTCTCATGGGCTGAATTTTGTTGTAGTGGCGGACTGCGCGAGGTTGGCGGGGGACTGCAGGTGGCAGTAGGTGTGTGTGGGTGTTTGCGTGTGAATCAACGTCAGTACGAATGTTTGATGATATATCTTTTACAGTAGATTAAGTGAGCCAGTTATAAACATCCACACAAGATCAGTTACAGAGGAACATCAACTCATTAACTTTCAAGACTCGACATTCTTACCATAACTTAATTAGATCAGGTAATTATTATTTTTTAATATCTATCAAGTTAAGATAAATAACTAACCTGGCATAATAGTATGTAAACTAATTTCTTTATCCTAATTAAAACGTATCCAAACCAGAGAAATAGTCATACAGACAATGACGGTGAAAAATTAAATGAATAACCTTTAACCGATCATCCCCGTGTCATAACCCAGGTCAGGTCAGGTCAGGTCAGGTAATTGGTCCCTCTCTCCTGCTCACCTGGGTGGAAACTGTAAGGCAATAACGTCTTTTCCCAGGTGAGACCTCCTGACGTCATGCAACCATCACCCTTAAGTCTTGTGCAATGGTCCCGTTGTGTGTGTGTGTGTGTGTGTGTGTGTGTGTGTGTGATTTTTTGTGATTTTTTTATGTTTGTAGATAGATAGATAGATAGATAAATAGATAGATCTGTATATATCAATGGAGAGTTGTATTATTATTATTATTATTATTATTATTATTATTATTATTATTATTATTATTTTTATTATTATCATCATTATTATTTTAGTCATTATACAGTACAAAAACTATAAAAACTCTTAAGGGCCATTCAAGGTCACGGGAAATAAAGGTCATAATTTAGGTTTAGACCATGACCTCACAACTTAGGTCAAAGGTCATACTATCTGTGACGTAATCTTCTCGGCATGTGTCGTGTTGGGATGGGTTTTTTTTTTCTCAACCTGACCTTCATAAATTATCATCATCTTTGTTCATATATCTTTATTGAAATGTCTTTTATTGTATCTTTAATCGTGTTTTTTTTCTTTATTCGTTGATTAATTTTACGTGTGTATTTTTAAACCCCGATTTTATAATTTTTTTATTTGTTGTTTTTGTTTTTTTGTCTATATAGTTTTAAGTATTTTTTTGTTTTATTATTTATTGATTTTGTGTGTGTGTGTGTGTGTGTGTATGTGTGTGTGTGTGTGTGTGTGTGTTCGTCTCTGCTTCCTTATTATTATTACTTTTTTCTTTTTTCTTTTTTTTTATTAATTTTTAGTGTTTTTTTTTCTATTTTTCTTGAATTATTTTGTATTAATTTTATTTCTTCTTTATTTTGCTTATATTTATTCATTTATTCTTAGGATGTTATATGTTCCTCTCTCTCTCTCTCTCTCTCTCTCTCTCTCTCTCTCTCTCTCTCTCTCTCTCTCTCTCTCTCTCTCTCTCTCTCTCTCTCTCTCTCTCTTTTATCATTTCCATCTGTTACTTTACCAACATCGTTCACTTTTACTTTCTTCTTATGCTTTCACACCCTTTCATTCCTTCACCTGAATAATAACAACTCTCACTTTTCCCTCGTCAGGTGTGTCTCCTGCGGTACCTTCTGCTGTAGCTGTTACTCCTCCTGAAAGAAAATGGGATTAGTGTTTTTAGTTCTTTTGATATTAAAATGAGACAAGAGGAATTTTTTTGTTTAGATTATTCTGGTGGTGGTGATGGTGGTAGGTGGTGGTGGTGGTGGTAGGTGGTGGTGGTGGTGGTAGGTGGTGGTAGGTGGTGGTGGTGGTGGTAGGTGGTGGTGGTGGTGGTAGGTGGGTGGTGGTAGGTGGTGGTGGTAGGTGGTGGGGTAGGTGGTGGTAGGTGGTGGGTGGTAGGTGGTGGTGGTAGGTGGTGGTGGTCGTGGCGGTGTTGATGTTAATAGCTTTGTAAATAAATCGATCAGTGTATTTTTGTCGCTATTGTAAAAGATTAACATTCAACATAACATTCTCACTTTGTTTGTTCTTCTAGTTGGATATTTAACTTGTTTACTCGTAAGATTGAACGTAAATAACCTTCTCTCTGAGGGGGGGGGGGAATGATGAGCCAGTCACTCTCTCCAAGACGTGACATTCTTCTCAATACACTCTTAGCTTCCTCCTCTTGGCATTCACCCACGCTCTCCTGTGACCTGTGGCCTTTAGACACTCTTTTTAGATTGAAACATTCTAGCATTCACCTCTGTACGGTATGTCTTTTGGTATGTGTTATTGACTTTCATCATGTCTGGTTTAGTTGATGGCTTTTAATACAAGGTGATATTATTGATCTCTCTCTCTCTCTCTCTCTCTCTCTCTCTCTCTCTCATGGCTACCTACATCACCTCATAGCTCTACCTCCTCCTCCTCCTCCTCTTTTCCTACAACCTATACAACTCCTTCAATAGCCTAGTAAGTTAAGACGAAGGTAATTATCACTATACACCGCCTTTCACAACATCATTATTACTTAGAGACAAAGGCTTCCGAGGACTGGTAGCCTTGACTCTAAAGGCTTCAGTAATATGCTGGTGAGTGAATTGCTGTGTCAAGTCGTTGGTTTATGACCTTGATGTGACGTTTGTTGCCGGAGTTAAGGGGAATTTATAGTTATTCTTGAACCCTTTGAGCACGATGACATTGTATTCAGGGGTTTAGGTCATAGTACTGTAAGGGTTAAGTCATTTTCTAAGGGGTAAAGTCATCATGTTCTAGGGTTTAATTCATCGTACTCTAGGGGTTACGATGTTATATTGATTGATATTTTAAGAGAGTGAAATTTAAAGTAGAAGCATTATATATCCCTTAAAGTGCCTTGATAATAAGTGTTGCTTGTGAAGACAACGTGAGGCGGACTGGTGGTGTACACGCCCTGGAGTGAGACCTGTATTAGGAGGTTGTGGAAACATAATATTTGTGTATCTTTTTATTGAGAAAACTTGCAGTATCAACAGATGATAAATAAATAAGCATATATCTCTTGCTCTACAGGAGAGAGGCTGATGAAGTACAGCGGTCGAGTAAAGTAATCAGGCCATTCTAAGAAGCTCAGAGGGTGATCACATAAGGTCTTCACTATACCGTGGAGGGAAGACCTCAGGGGCCACGGCTGCGCCTCCCACAGGTTGAAATGTAAGAACCAAAAAAGAAATATAAGATTAAGTCAATTCTTGAGTGTAGTAGACTGGTAAGAGTTAGTCTCAAACATAGAGACATGATCGCTGCTACCCGGTGGTCGCCACTTTGTACATCTGATTTAACTAAAACCATCGGGTCGTGAAGACCATGAGAGATTCTTCCTCGTGGGTGACTCTGTAGGGGAGGAGGACTAGTCAGTGGGTGGGTGGGGGAGGCTCGTGGGTGAGACATTCATCGTTTAGTTGTATCGTGGAGGAGGAGCACCGTACGAGGGTCCGGGGCCGGAGGAAGGGCTTGGGTTAAGACGGGCGAACTCGATCTGGGCGATGGCGTGAGCGGGGAGAGGATGGGGCGTGGGCAGCAGGTCAGACTGTACCTGGTAACCACCTGCAGCGTCGGCCACGAAGTTGAAGACTCCTGGGGTGCCGTCAGGGAAGGTGAATCTGAAAGGACAAAAATTTATCAAATCTTTGCCGACGGACCACTGAAGGCCACACCACCACCAGCCTTCAAACACCTTCTCCTACACTGTTATATAGCAGACACCTGTGGAAGTTACTTCACGTCTCTTATTAAAGCTCAAGATACAACTCTGACCAACATTACTTAGGGACGTGTACACCAGAGATACTCACGACCATCCTCCCTGAGACGCCACGGCGCCAGTCTCCCCCTGGGGGGCGCCCTGCTCATGACGACTGATGCCGTCACCAGTCTCGAACTCGAAGTTGTAGTTGCCGAACTCATCAGGTCCCTGACGCTCGTCCTTCAGGATGGGGACTACAGGACCTGAGGTGTAGGATGGCTGAGGTGCCCCGTATCCTCCCTGGGGCTTGGCAGCCACTACTGCCAGTAAGGCACACAGGACCAACTTCTGTAAGTGTACACAAGGAATATGTTAACACGGGCTCACCTCTGAGGAGTCATAGTGGGGCATCTGATGATCTGTTGTGAGGAACGTTTATCTTGTGTCCAGACTCCCCCCCCCTCCCCCCTCCCTCAGCCCCCTTTACCACCTTCAGGGAAAATATTATTAGCGTTTGTAAATAATGTAGATGAGTTTTAATTTATCGACTTTAATAATGATTAATAAACAAAGATAGTAAAATGGATAAGACAAACTGGAAGAGCAAAATGTTAAGGTATATGAAGTGATTGAACTGATTGATGTACTCATAACATAATATTGTCTACCCAGACTATAACAGGACAGTCCTGGGCAGGTCTTACCGAGAACATGTTGCTTAGGATGTCTTGGATCGACTGTGCTGGTCGAGTGAGCTGTGGCCTTTATATACCTGCTCGCTCCTTTCCTCCTTCCCATCCCCCCCTCTCTCCCTGCTCCTCCTCTTCATCATCTAGTTTACCTCTTTGTTTCTTGACTTCGCAAAGGCCGCCGTGTGGTCGCCTCAACACCGTGTCGCAACAGGACCACATCCCTCAGTGTATTAAGGCCAACACCCAGACCTTCTCGTGACGGCAGGCTCGCGGGCCACCAGTCACTTTATCCATGACTGAAAATTTTCCATGTTCATTAATACGAATTTACCTTTGACCTCAACTATATACATGAAGCTTCTATATTAGGTACATCAAGCTTCGTTATACCATTAGCAAGGCTTCATTTTAGTCCCACAGGTAGAATGATAGAATGTTTGTCTCAGAGAATAATGAGTCCAAACAAGGGAATGATTCTTCACCATAAAGCATAAGCTAACTGAACCACGTCCTGTACTAAAGACTTGTGTTGTTACCTCCTGAAGATCTGAGAGTGAGAGAGAGATAGAGAGATAGAGAGAAGTTAATAGATAGGAGGGAAGAGAAAGAGATGAATTGTAAGTGATAAAAAGAAGATAAAGAGAGGAAGGAAGAGATCAAAATCATCACGCAAAACATTATCACTGTGAGAGTAATGAGTCAAACGAGAACTCCACTCATAACAACTAATAATAGACTCCACTCATAACAACTAATAATAGACTCCACTCATAATAGAACTCAAACCAATTAAGACACAAGTTTACTTTACCCGGAGTCCTATACTTGAGGTTCAGTTAGCTAGACCCAATAATTAATGATAGACCCGCAGCCCTACATGACCCCTTCCAGTCCTACATGACCCCATCTAGTCCTACAAGACCCCCTCAGTCCTACAAGACCCCCTCAGTCCTACATGACCCATTCCATTCCTACAAGACCCCCTCAGTCCTACAAGACCCCTTTCAGTCCTACAAGACCCCCTCAGTCCTACAAGACCCCATCAGTCCTACATGACCCATTCCATTCCTACAAGACCCCCTCAGTCCTACAAGACCCCTTTCAGTCCTACAAGACCCCCTCAGTCCTACAAGACCCTTCAGTCCTACAAGACCCCTCAGTCCTACAAGACCCCTCCAGTCTACAAGAAGTCCTACCCCCTTCAGTCCTACAAGACCCCTCAGTCCTACAAGACTCAGTCCTCCTCAGTCCTACATGACCCCTTCCAGTCCTACAAGACCCCCTCAGTCTGAGGCCCCCCCTCAGTCCTACAAGACCCCCTCAGTCCTACAAGACCCCTCAGTCCTACATGACCCCTTCCAGTCCCTACAAGACCCCATCTGGTCTACAAGACCCCCTCCAGTCCTACAAGACCCTTCCAGGCCACCACAAGACCCCTCAGTCTACAAGACCCGCCTCAGTCCTACATGACCCATGCCAAATTCTACGGGCCCCTCAGTCCTACAAGACCCCCTCAGTCCTACAAGACCCCTCAAATTCTGACCCCTCAGTGCATGGCCCCTTCCAGTCCTACAAGACCCCATCTGTCCTACAAGACCCCCTCAGTCCTACAAGACCCTTCCAGTCCTACAAGACCCCATCTAGTCCTACAAGACCCCCTCCAGTCCTACAAGACCCCTTCCAGTCCTACAAGACCCACAGTCCCTACAAGACCTCAGTCCTACAAGCTCTCAAGTCCTACAAGACCCCTTTCAGTCACAAGACCCCTCAGTCCTACAAGACCCCCCTCAGTCCTACAAGACCCCTTCCAGTCTACAAAACCACTCCCCGACCCCCAAATCCTATAGGACTTCTACAGGTAGGTAAGTTAGCTTGCCGAGGGGAGGAGGAGGGTTCTATATGATCTACAGTAGGCACTTACGTGACCTGTAAGTGGCCCCTCTTAATACCTGGGCACTTACCTGAACTGTTAGGGGGTCCTGATAAGACTTGGGAACTTACCTGACCTGTAAGTAAGTCCTACATAGACTTGGGAACTTACCTGACCTGCAAGTGTCATGAGGAGACGCCGAGGCCGCCACCAAGTGCCCCCGCGTCCCTGAGGTTAGAAAGTAAAGTGTCCAGGTGAGCCAGTACCACCTGCAGTATCTGGAGCGACCCGCCCACTCACTGGCCCACGACGGTCCTGGTGGTGGTGGTGGTGGTGGTGGTGGTCCTGGTGGTGGTGGTGGTGGTGTGGTCTGGTGGTGGTGGTGGTGGAGGGTGGTGGTGGTGGTGGTGTCCTGGTGGTCTGGTGGTGTGGTGGTGGTGGTGATGGTGGTGGTGGTGGTGGTGGTGGGTGGTGGTGAGGCCAGTGTGGTGGTCTGGTGGTGGTCCTGGTGGTGGTGGTGGTGGTGATGGTGGTGGTGGTGGTGGTGGTCTGGTGGTCTAATTGGTGGTGGTGGTGGTGGTGATGGTAATTAGTGGTGGTAGTGAGAGTGGTGAGTGTGAGGTGGTGGTGGTGGTGGTCCTGGTGGTGATGGTGGAGGTGAGTGGTGTTCTGGTTTCTTGCTCGTTCTGAGATAGTAGGGCAGGGAAAGTACAGCTGAGGATAGATACAGTACCAGAGGAGTAGCTACAGGTACAGAGGGGTAACTACAGGTACAGAGGGTAGCTACAGGTTACAGAGGTAGCTTCTACAGGTACAGAGGGGTAGCTACAGGTACAGAGGGGTAGCTACAGGTACAGAGAGTAGCTACAGGTGCAGAGGGTAACTACAGGTACAGAGGGTAACTACAGGTACAGAGGGTAACTGCACAGAGGGTAACTACAGGTACGAGGGTAACTACAGGTACAGAGGGTAACTACAGGTACAGAGGAAGTAACTACAGGTACAGAGGGTACTACAGGTACAGAGGGTAACTACAGGTGCAGAGGGTAGCTTCGTGCAGAGGATAGATACAGGTACAGAGAGTAACTACAGGTACAAAAGACAACAAATAAACAATAGAAAAAAATATAGCACGGAACACAATGAAAAGTTTATTGTGCAATGATGAGAAAAAGAGACAGGCAGACAGGCAGAGACAATGATAGACAAATAGACAAAAGGACAAAAAAATATAAAAAGGCCAGACAATTAGACAGAAACAAAAGAGACAGACACACGGACAGAAAGAGGAACAGACAAACAGTTATAAAGATGCCGACAGAGAGATAGACAGAAACAAACAGACAGACAGACAGACAGGCACAGACGGACCAGTTTAGTGAGATGCCTGAGTGAGGATGACACTGTGCTGGTGATCAACAGGTGAGAAAAACAGGTGATTAAAACTGTCTCAAGGTTGTGTGTGTGTGTGTGTGTGTGTGTGTGTGTGTGTGTGTGTGTGTGTAATATTAAATAGTATCTTTCTGTCTATTGCTGTCTATCTATCTATATATCTATCCCAATGATTCACATAACAATACACTGCCACATTACTAATAAAATGAAAACAACAATAACCTAACCTAGCCAAACCTAACCTAACTTCAACCTAACCTAACCTAACCTAACCTAACCTAACCTGACCTAACCTAACCTAACCTAACCTGACCTAACCTAACCTAACCTAACCTAACCAAACCTAACCTAACTTCAACCTAACCTAAGTGAAAGGGTACAGTATTACACCACCTGTCCGGAATAACTGATGTACAGGTATACTTAATCAAGAAACATATATGGGTAAATGCGATATAATTCGAGGATGTCTTATGATGACAAATCCTTAACTATATCAAGCAGGTTATCTTACCATGATATATCAAGATCAGTGAGATTACCTGCCTTTCCCTCTCACCTGGGCATGATGACACACATATCAGGTAAGTTACTTAATTAGGGTGAAGTGTTGTTGACGTGGTGAGGATTATATTTCTTTTGTTATATGAAAGTGATAAGAATTTTGGGTTCTGGAGGAGGGAAATGGTGTCAGGGTGTGTTAGGGGGGTGTCAGAAGGTATCAGGGAGTGTCAGGAGGTATCAGGGAGTGTCAGGAGGTATCAGGGAGTATAAGGAGGTATCATGGAGTGTCAGGGAGTATTAGGAGGTATCAAAGAGTGTCAGGGGGTATCAGGGAGTGTCAGGATGTATCAGGGAGTGTCAGGGGGTATCAGGGAGTGTCAGGAGGTATCAGGGAGTGTCAGGGGGTATTAGGGAGTGTCAGGGGTATCAGGGGTGTCAGGAGGTATCCAGGGGTGTCAGGGGGTATCAGGGGAGTGTCAGGAGGTATCAGGGAGTGTCAGGAGGTATCAGGGAGTGTCAGGAGGTGATAGGGAGTGTCAGGAGAGGTATCGAGGTGTCAGGGAGGTATCAGGGGTGTCAGGGGAGTATTAGGAGGTATCCAAAGAGTGTCAGGGGGTAGGGAGTGTCAGGATGCCATCAGGGAGTGTTAGGGTATTAGGGAGTGTCAGGAGGTATCAAGAGTGTCAGGGGTATCAGGGAGTGTCAGGAGGTGTCGAGGGGTATCAGGGATGTCAGGAGGTGTCGGGAGCGTCAGGGAGTATTAGGAGGTATCAAGAGTGTCAGGGGGTATCAGGGAGTGTCAGAGAGGTGTCAGGGAGTGTCCAGGAGGTATCAGGAGGAATCAGGGAGTGTCAGGAGGTATTAGGGAGTGTCCAGGAGGAGGTATCAGGGGGAGTGTCAGGAGGTATTAGGGAATGTCAGGTGGTATCAGGGAGTGTCAGGAGGTATTAGGGAGTGTCAGGTGGTATCAAAGAGTGTCACGGGGTATCAAAGAGCGTCAGGAGGTATCAGGGAATGTCATGGGTTCCGGCTTGAATTCTCCATGGACAGGTGGTCACGATGCAGCCTGGGGGTGGAGGGGGAAGGAGGGTAGGGGGATAGGGGAGGGGGGTAGGGGAGGGGGCCCAACCTGTATGGTGCTTTGACATTTGTTATACACCTCTGACAACCTTGACATGTTCTCTGTAATCATGTCACTCTCTCTCTCTCTCTCTCTCTCTCTCTCTCTCTCTCTCTCTCTCTCTCTCTCTCTCTCTCTCTCTCTCCAGCGTTCAGTTCGTGTAATGTAAAGTATAATACACAGGAAAAAAAAACTCGCCCACCAGCTGAAGAAATGAGTGAACGCCCCTAACTGACCCTCCTTAACGAGTACACTAATATGGGGTTCAAAATGGTGGCAGAATTGTACTGAGACTTTATGATAATTAGATGATGTTAGGTCAGTGTGTATTTATGTCTGTGTGGGTGCTTGTGTGTGTGTGTGTGTGTGTGTGTGTGTGTGTGTATGTGTGTTCCTCACAAAAGGTAGAGAAAGAGAGAATTCGGAGAAAAGAGTCAAGAGGCTTGGAGAATGAGGCAAAGAAATAAAGGAAAACAATGAGAAAAAAAAACAACACACACACACACACACACACACACACACACACACACACACACACACACACACACACCACACAAGCACCCCACACATACACAAATTAACCCCCCCCTCCTTCACACAAACGTCACAACAAACACAGACACACACACACTGCCCGCCACACTACAAGGACAAGCGGCCCTCCTACCCTCCCCTGCGGTACACCACCACATCACGGCGCCTCCACCCAGATCAATGCGCTTGTGACATTCTCAGACCTGTCATTTACTTACGAATTGTTGATGTATAAGGCTAAGGGGTGATTGAGTCTTTGTCTTTTATGGGATGCAATGTAACTTAACCTAACATAAGCTAACTTAATGTAGCCTTAGCTAACTTAATCTAACCTTATCTGACTTAATCTAATTTTGCCTAACTTTAGCTAACTTAATCTAACCTAATCAAGCGTACCTTAACCTAAACTAACCTAAGCTACAGATAATTAAAACTTACGTAAAACCTAACTTAATCTAGCCTCATCATGCCTACTTTAACCTAACCTAACCTAACCTAAAACAAGAGTAGGAGTGTGGTTCATTTACCAGTCACCAGATAAGCTACCAAGACTTCACTAATAAGAGGTCAAAGTCGTGCTAGCTAACACAACTCTCTCTCTCTCTCTCTCTCTCTCTCTCTCTCTCTCTCTCTCTCTCTCTCTCTCTCTGACGATAACTTCCATGGTTATCACAAGTAGTTATCATTTATAAAGAGGAAAGAGCTGTTATCATTGACCAAGTATCATATAGTGTACAGACACATAAACATTGCTACACTCACACTCCCCCTCCAAAAAAAATTAAAATATTGTGCAGAAACTCGTCTTTTTCTTGCAATGGCCTGATAAACACACAAGCTGATGTCGTTATCATACCTGTGTTACCTGTGTCGTCTTGTGTTACTCGTGTTACCTGTGTCGTCTTGTGTTACTCGTGTTACCTTTCTTACCTGTGTTACCTGTTTTGTCTTGTGTTACTCGTGTTACCTGTGTCGTCTTGTGTTACTCGTGTTACCTTTCTTACCTGTGTTACCTGTTTTGTCTTTTGCTACTCGTGTTACCTGTGTCGTCTTGTGTTACTTGTGTTACCTGTTTCTTGTGTTACTCGTGTTGCCTTTATTACCTGTGTTACATGTGCCGTTGTGTGTTATTTGTGTTACCTGTGTCACCTCAGATTAATTTCTGTAGTCAAATCAAGACCTATACTCGACAATGATGGATATTTATATAAAAATAAATATAGAACCGCATTAAATAACTAAATTTAATTTTTAAAATATTCAATATCACTTTTTAATAATAAATTGTCGTGTAATTTTTTTAATTGGTGTCGATATTCGTAAACATATCTGATTTGTTTGTTTACATTGAGCCATGTGTTCAGGGCCTCTCTGTGTCGACTCGCCTAAGAAGAATGGCACGATAGACAATATTACCGTAGATCTCATCGTTGCC